GCCGTCTGCCCTCCTTGCCGCCATCCTCGCCGCAATCCTCGCCACTCTCTACGCCCTCCTCGCCGCTCTCCTGGCCGGCCTCCTCTTTCCCATTTTCCTAGATCCGTTTTGCCGCCTTCGTCACCATCACTACCCACGACACTCCAGCTATTTCGCCAGTCCCTGCCGCGCCGCATTTGGACTCCGACGACCCGCTCTCGTCTTGGCTTGACCCGTTCCCGCTCCCGCGCTGGCACTCGCCCTCGGCCCGTCCCGAAATTTAACCCCCACCCCACCGCACACCATCCAGTTGCACCTATCTCAGGCTCCCGTACGGCCGCTTTTCCCACGCAGGCTGTACGGTTCACCAGTCGTTGACATTCGTAGAGTTGCAATGGAGCGATAACCTCCACTGGGTTTGCTTGCACCGGCATGGCATCCCGAAACTCTGATCTGACACCAACTAGACCGCTGACTTCTTGACTCCTGCAACCCGACTTAGCCTCTTCTCTGCGTAGTTTTATGGGGTACCTCTATGAAGTATTAAATCTTTATGAATTTATTTTACAATATTTACAAACACCAAGTCTTTTTTAAATTAGATTTACTGTCTATTTTTATATTAATTTCATTTGTAAAATAAATTTTGTATTAAGGCACTAAAGCAAAAACATACTTTTCCTATAAAATACACTGCATTGCATTCTGTAATGTTTTTATCTTAGTTGTATCGACTGTAAATTTAAACAAACAGTGATCTGAGAATACGTTATCTCAAAATTTCTAAATTATTTCATGTTCATTTCTATGTTCATTTTTTTAGCATATATTTTGATACTTGAACTTTTAACAATTATTTTCATTATTTTTCTACACTCAATTTTATTTCATTCTCGTGATGCAGATACTAAATTTTTCAAGAGGTACACACATATAGGTGGTTTATAACATATTAATGTAGAAATAATGATAAAAAATATGAAGTGCACAAGAACATACAATTTCGTGCTAGTAGCCACACACTAACATACTCTCGCTGTCGCAAACACTTAACCAGATAAATATCTCTGTCGTATCTGCACTTCCACATACACCTTCATTTGCACGCACGCCCTCAATAGAGAGCATTCCTGACTGTTTACCTCCTAGTTATATTCATATGAGACTTGCAACAGTTAACGAAAAGATTCTTTAATTAATGAAACACAGATTGGACTATTTGGAGTAAATAACAAAGTTTTGACGTTTACATTTCTCTGTAGATTTTTCTTTTCTAAGTTGTTAATTTACTAATTTTACTGATAGAGCAACCAAAAACTTCGAGGGGCAACAACAAAAATAGAGATCGCATCTTACATGATAAAAAAATTCCGATACTTTCAAATGTTATTGATACAGCTCTCTTTTGCTTACGTCTATTTACTCTGAAAAAAAGGTATCAATTTTTCATGTTGTCAATGAATTTACAAAATACAAACTTTTTAAAATTTGGTTTATTTTTATTTATTTACATCAGAAACAGTTACAAACTATGTGTGACGTGCTATAGGGAAAAGTTAATTTGAAGTTACATTTTTGTCCAGAAGCAAAACAAGGAGCCATTTCAGAATTTGCTCAAGGTTCAAGGAAACTGGACGAAAATGTGACCGAGGTGGGATCTTAACTATACATCTGTAGTTATAGGCTTACAATCTAACTTGCACGTTACACTAAACTACGATGACGAGAAGACTCACAAAGCACCTCTACAAATTTATTCTAAGTAGCTGAATATGTTTAAGAATGCATATTAAGAATACTGATTTGGTTTTTACGTTTTGTGTACTTGTTCAGTTTGTGATGTCTGATTTGATTGATGAAGTGGCTATGTGAATAAAAGTAATTGGAGGGATAGCTTACATTGTAAGAGATTGTGTTAATGTTTAATTCGATGTGTAGTTCTTTGTTGGAGACATAGTTTGGTTGCTAATACATTAGAATTTGTTTTGATAACATTTATTTTGTGAAGATTATAATTGGCAGCATGTGTCTGTATTGACATATTGAACATGCAAACAGAAGGATTAGTCTGTTTGCCGTTTTTTTTATATCATTACTCTATGGTGTGGTTTAATGATAGATTGGAAATATTATTTGTTAACGGTTTCTGTTATAAGATGAACTGCTAAGTCATATTTTGGTTGTACCAACAGAAATTAACAAATATTGATCATATATTTTTGTTCGATGTTCATTTTGTTTTAATTATAGTCATATTGCTTGTTTTTAGATGATTTCTATTTGTTGTAAAATGGTGATACTCCTGATGTTTACGAATTAGTCGCGAAATTAACTGATCATTATTTATAAGGGAAAAACAGGGTCTAAAACAAAATCTTCCTTAAATTTTTGTGGTAATAATCACTTGTAAAATATCAACAACTAAGCAATAATGAAGTATGTCAAAACATTAAGATAATATATAAAATTTGTGTTGGTGAATTGCCAGATTTTGTAGTAATATTATGGAACATGATTGATTGTTCTTGTACATTTATGAGTCTAAACATGATATTCTGTGTCCAAGTCGACTTGTGATGTACATGTACCGTGTGCAGTAGTTGAATGTTTGAATTCAAAACGTGAGGGGTTATCGTTTCTTCCATGGGAAGAAGGTTAGACGAATTACAGGAACATTATAAGTTCTGCTTATTATAATTGATATGAAAGCATATGCAATAAAAATAAACATTTTGATCAAAATCCGGGAATTTTTTAGTTAGGCTTAATTGGATATTTGTGTTCCATTGCAATAATCACGTTAATCTTCTACTACGTTAAATATCTATTAATCCTAATTATCCCATTTTTAATGGCGTTTCACACACGATTCCAAGTAAACAATTTGAAAAGTCATGTATTTACTTTAGAGTCACTATTTGAGTTCATATTGTGTATAACACCATAGAGTACAACATCAATGCCGCTTTTAAGCAGGAGAGATGTGCGCACTGAATCCTGCAGACGGCGCATCGCAGTACGTGCAGACATTTCATTATGGAGCTGATAACCATCTCGGATCCTATTGCAGGCGGCGGGAGTCGATGCAGGCGGGTGATGACGCCGCGACGCCGATGCGTCTCGACGTCTGCAGCCATCTAGCACGCGCTCCCCCCTCCCAGGGCCCGTAGCGTGCAGCGCCGCGCCGCGCCGTTCGCTATGAATGGCTTAATGAATACGCGATTCCTCCTGGATGCGACCTCGTTGCCGGGTGAGATTGGCAAGCGCTCGCTCGCGCAGAAGCGAACCCCGGCCTCTGACACCGCCGTCGCCATGGCTCACGCTGCCGCCCTCGCCGCCTCGCTTGTCGTCACCCTCATTGTCTATCTAGTTGTCACTCTCGGAATCACTTATTAGTCTATCTCGTCAAAGGCGTCGTCCTCGCGCTAGTACAAATAGGTACATGAAAATGGTAGATACAATCGCAGCGCTTGCTGTGATACACTGGTCTTTTTCGTGAAGTTCTTCAGGCAGCAGTCCATGTTGTCACTAAAAGAATCGGCGTTATCGGTAAATCTTGTCATCACAAGTTTTTTGGAAAGTAATCTGTTGAATCTTTAATGAGATGGCTCCAAATTTATTTATATAAGATATATTATATAATCTGTTATAATATATATATATATATATATATATTATATATAATATATATAAATATACACACACAACACATTCCTTCAATTCCCGAAAACATCTTATAGGCGTGTTTCTTGGAGTAAACTAGAATGAAACAATATGAATAACTGCAAGGGGTGTTTCCACAAACTAGTATATCTCTAATATAGTACGGTCTTAACATAGTACGTTCTTAACATAGTACGGTCTAAATAGTACGGTCTTACATAAGTACGTCTTAACATCAGTACGTCTTTTAACTATAGTACGTCTTAACAGTAGTACCTACAGTAGCTTAACATAGTACGTCTTAACATAGTACGTCTTAACATAGTAGTCTTAACTAAGTAGTCTTAACATAGTACGTCTTAACATAGTACGTCTTAACATAGTACGGTCTTAACATAGTACGTACAAGTACGTCTTAACATAGTACGCTTAACATAGTAACGTCTTAACATAGTAGTCTTAACATAGTACGTCTTACACATAGTACGTCTTAACATAGTACGTCTTAAACATAGTACGTCTTAACATAGTACGTCCATTAAATAGTACGTCTCAATACAGTACGCTCATCGTCTCTCAATACAGTAGCGTCTCAATACAAGTCCGTCTCAATACAGTGTTCAATACAGTACGTCTCAATACAGTAATCGTCTCAATACAGTACGTCCTCAATACAGTACGTTCTCAATACGTACGTCTCAAAGTAGCAATCGTTTTCAATACGTCAATGTCTCACAGTATCAATTAGTATGTCTCAATACATGTATTCCTCAATACAGTAATCTTCATATGTTCAATACAGTATGGTCTCAATACATATGTTCATAAGTGTCTCATACAGTATGTCTCATACAGGTATGTCCTCAATACAGTATGTCCTGCAATACAGTATGTCTCAATCAGTCATGTTCTCAACAGTAATCGTCTCAATACGTACTGTCTCAAATAACAGTATGTCCTCAATACAGTCATGTTCTCAATACAGTATGTTCTCTCAATACAGTTATGTCTCAATAGTATGTCTCATACAGTATTCCAATCAAGTATGGTCTCAATAAGTATTCTCAATAAGTAGTCTAAAAGACAGTATGTTGTCTAATATAGTTATGTCTCAATACAGTATGTCTAATCCAGTATGTCTCAATAGCAGTATGTCTCAATACAGTATGTCCTGCAATACAGTATGTCTCAATACAGTATGTCTCAATACAGTATGTCTCAATACAGTATGTCTCAATATAGTATGTCTCAATATACTGTGTCTCAATATACTATGTCTCAATAGTATGTGTCAATATACTATGTCTCAAGTTTTTCAATTTAGTATCTCTTATGGCACCACGATATGTAACTATATTTTGACTCGCCACTCTGCAATTTTAGACTAAAGATGTTTAACGCGTCAAGGAAATCAGCCAAGTATGCCAATATTACTTGAATTGTAGTTTTTGTTTTAAATTCCAGGCTTAGTTAGTTTTGTTTTTGATTTTCCAAAAAGGTAGTTATTCATGTGAGACGTCAAATAATTTTGCCCAATAACTTCAGAGAGCCAGCGTACTTCCGTTTGAAATAACAGTGTTTTGTATTCTGCGACAATTACTTTGCAAAGTTTAAACAGTCGAGTAATTAAAGCGAAGCTTTTGATGTAATTAACTCCATTAATATATAATTTTAAGATACGAGTGAGTTTGTTTGGAAGCGTCTTAGCGGACAAGTCTTGACGGTGTATGAAGCAATGAATCGAAGTCACAGCAGCATTTTTCTGTCTTACCAATTGCACAAAGCTTGAGCGAGCACCAAGCATTGAAGGAGCGCCATTTTTGAATACACCAATTAATTTTTCCCACGAATGTTCATATTAGTAAAAAAAATCTGAAAAAACATTGTGTAATATCTGCACTGTCATTCAGCTGCATTGAAAAAAAGGTGATTGTTTTGTTCCATCAATTACTTGATTTTTTATGTTTTTAGCCTCATCATCAATGACACGTTTCACAGTGTTGTCAGAAAGCGTTATTGGTGGCAATATGTTTCTACTTATTGTTCCAAGAACTATATCAGCTGCCTTTAACAGGCATGGTTTAACAAGAGTCTCGATTATAATATTACTTTTCCTTTACCTAGCATTAAGAAGTGATAGATCATTGAAAGCTTCAAGCACTTTTTCAGATAACTGAGAAACATATCCAGAACTAAATTATTACACATTAAATTTTCAGACTTAACAGAAAAAGTAGTATTTTGGTTCGGTCCTTAACACAAACATTATATATTGACAAATGACGTTCCAGACGACTATGGCTCTTGGCATCATTGGTCAGTATCAAATAACACTGAGGATGTTTGACGCCATCCTTAAGCACGTAAATAAACCAATATTTATTAATATCATCGTTATACTTGCGTTTCTTGCTGAGCTCTGAACGATATCTTATGTCACAAATCAAAAAATGCAACAAGGCAACATTACTATAAAATTAAAATGTCCTCAGAAATGTTCGGGTATTCACGTCTTGTTGCGTCTCCGACCCCCGATTGTCTCTACTTCTCCCTGGGGGGGGGGCGCCGCCCACTTTGGGAGTCATTGAATTAGAGTAACAACATTGCCTACAACAACTAAAATCCTCTTTTGATTATCCCTTTCCCCGTATAATAAATTAAAGATTCTTCATTTTTACTATTTATTGTTGTAATGTATTCTCTTTCCAAGAATTAAAAAAAATATTTATTAGATATTCAACGAAATATACAAGCAATGATTCATATTTTTAGTCAACAACCAACATCTATTTAGATTTCGTAAAGCTAACAGCCTCTGCACCTCCCCTCGATTTACCTCCCCTGTCGTTTCCCACCAGACCACGTCGTCACTACCGCCACCCCTCGCTCGCCATTGCCGCCATTGGAGGGCGGAAATTACTAGCGCGCTACTAAGCGAGTTTGGGGCGATGGGGCCGCCACGACCATCGTCGCCAGCGCCGCGCCGCCGCCGCCGCCTCGGGGAACGTGTTACCAACATTACACGAGAAACTATCGACGTTTCCTGCCATCAGACGCGCAATTTAGCGACTCTTTACAGCCCCACTTTGGAATTGCGTTAAAAACTAACGACGGTTGCGGCGCGCCGAGGTGACGGCGGCTGGGCGGCGGAGGCGGCGGTGGCGGCGGGAGGGGAAAAGAAGAGACTCGACAAACCTGAGAAGCTCTCTGCAAACTAACTGCCAAGTCGGTTAATTTCCTATTAGTTAAGGAGCGGCGGTGACGGTGGAACTATATATCGGTTGGTCTGACCGAAATCTCCTGCAGCTGCACGAATTCTCCCGAGAAGTTCATTAAGAGAGTCAAAGCGCCTTGTGAACGCGGTTAACGAACGATTCTTCTTCTCGGCGGCGGCAGCCGCAGGCGAGAAGTTTTGTGGTGGTTTGGAGAGGGGGCACTCTTTCACTAGATATGGAAGGAAACTCAAGAAAGAATCCAGTTTCAGTTGATCTGATTTGATTGTAATTTAAGGACTCTCAACCTGTAAGAAAGGGGTTTCCTAAAGATAATATTGTTTGGAAAGGAATTTGTTGTCTCAAAGTTCAATAAACATAAAAAAATTTCATCGCCTGCAAAGTAAAGGTAATAATATTATTTTTTTTCTTAAAGAAATTTTAAGGGTCACCAATAATGTTATTTTTTTCAAAATATTAAAAGAAATATTTTATACTAGTATTGTCATTTGTGTATTGACAAACAATACATGTACTGAAGTACTCAGGATATACCTTTAGCTCATACCATTTTTCAAACAAATACATTTTTCATTTATTTAAATTTATTTAAATTACATATTCTGCTTTTAATTTTCATAAATGTTTGATAAAGTAAGTTAGAGAAACATTAAATTCATAACAAAATTATAATATTATTTTTTTCTACACGATGTAAAACTCTTGCATTTAACAACAGGTATAATGAATATTATGGATTTAACAAATTTATGCATGATTGTTAAAAATATACGATGTTGGAGATGGTAACAAATAAATTTCCATTAAAACGGTCACAGTGTCTAAGGCACTGCGTCGCTGATGTTCCTTCTTTTGTTTGTTTTTTACAGCACTTTCTGATGAGTATGAGTTAATGTTTGTGCTCCTACGGCTTTGGGCTTTGGGTATTCCTGCGCGTCATAAAATAACTAAAATCATGCGAGCAGCAGAATTATCTAGTGAAATACACAAGTTTGACACGCCTGCAATCTATAATTTTAATACGTATTGCAGAAATCTAATAACAAACGTTTAAATCCTTGACCTCAACTCTTTATTTCTCGCGACATGCATCATTCTACCTCGGAAGATAACGCATTCTATTCAGATCTCCGA